ATATATTTGGTTTTAAAAGACCAAGAAGAAAACACACTGGTCTTGAATAAAAAACATGGTGAATAAAAATATAATCACAAGAGTTATTACTTCTGCCTCTGCCAAGCCTATGGCAGTGAAAAGCATAGGGAAATGTGATGTGTCTCACAGATGGGGTGTGGCTCTATTTTAGAATTTAAAAATTCTATTCCACCCCTATTTAAATAGGGGTGGCTCTATTTTAGAATGTTGGGGATCTGTATTCTTCTCTCCTGGCTCTACATGCTCCTTACAAAAGTGGCCTTGGAGATGCTCCAGAATTCAGGACTTCCAAAGTCATAAAATTCCCAGCAAACTCCTGGTTTACAGTACCTCTGGGTGATGGGTTAATTGTCTGAATGGAGATCTTCTAATTTTCTAGTTTAATGAAGTTCTCTTAGTTCTTTTGCTAAGAGTGGACAGGAATTGACCTTCCTACTAAAAAATTACTCTGGGGGCACCTGCGTGGCTCAGTCAGTTAAGTGTCCAACTCTTGATTTCGGCTCAGGTCATGCATGATCTTGTGGTTCATGAGTTCGAGCCCTGCATCAGGCTCTGTGCTGACAGTGCAGAGCCTGCTTGGGATTCTCTCTGTCTCCCTCTCTCTCTGCCCTCCCCTGCTCTCACTCTCTATCTCTCAAAATAAATGAAAACTTAAAAAAAATTATCCTGGCTGCGGAGATTCTGCTAAATCAAGAGATTATCCAGGATGCATAGCCTTTCGAAGCCATTGAGAAGTTGACGTTGAGGGCTCAGAGATTGTAGCCACTCTTTTTTTTACTTCTTAGGTTTTGTACTTTTGTATTAGGATATGACATATCTTAAGTGTTCCTCTTAAATAACTGACCTGTGATGCACCACCTAGAGTTGTGTGTGTGTGTGTGTGTGTGTGTGTGTGTCATGCACACAAAAGCATGTATGCATGTGTGTAAGAAAAAGCCGGTATGAATAAGAATCACAACAGTGCCAGAGTCTTGTGCTTGGCTGACATTTTCACACTAAAAAATTAGATGACTTCTAGGGCAAGCAACCCCACAAGAGACATGAAAATCTTATTATATGACAAAGGATGATGATGTTAACCTGGAGAAGAAAAGAAACAGGGATCATATACTCTTTCACTACTTAAAGAGAAAAAAACCCACTGGAAATTAGGAGATAATATTGATATTAATAAATAAGTTTTATAACAATGAAACCTGTCCAATAATGAACAAGCATGCCTTATGAAAAAAATTCCAAAATCAAAATTATTTTTGAACACCTACTTGGTGACAGGTGTTATGCTGAACACATTACACGCAGTAGGCCATTCAATTCTCTCAAAATCCCTATGAGGTAAGAACTGCTATTATTTTCACATTACAGGTGGGAAACCAAGTGTTGGAGAAGTTAGTTTAACTTTTTCAAGGTCACACAGCTAGTGAATAGATAAACTGTATTTGATTCTGGAACCTGTGTACTAAACCACTGAATCGTTTATTTCCATCCTTGGACATTTTAAAGCACAGTCTGATGGATCAGAAATTTAATTTAAGGGGTTCTTTCCACTGTAAGACTTTTCCATTGCAAGACTGAACCACTGCAGTCATCTCTAAAATCTTTCATTTAATTTCTGCATACTAAAGACTGAAAGAAACATTGACTTGGGCCCCCTTGGGCATTATGACCCCTGTCATCTTCCTACTGTAACAAAGATGGGGACAAGTCTACAAGTATAGAAAAGGCCAGTTGAAGACTAAGGGATTGTTAAGCAATAGAATCCACAAAGAAAATTGGAAGAGGTTGCATTCCTTTGGCCAGGGAGTAATCGGTGGTCTTCTGCAATGTGCAAAAGATGATGGGTAAGTAAATCATGTCCATGGAGAATACAAGAAACCCATCACAGTGAGAAAGCTTGGCTAGCACAAGAAGCTCTTCCTAGTGAAAAGGTCTTGAAATAAACAAGACTTCGAAGCTCAGTTACAAGCAAAAGAAGTCATGTTAGAATAGCAACCAATGCCTTTAGTAGCAGCCCACTCCAGCTGCCTTTCTGGTAGCCTTGTCAAGTTGGTCAGCCCTGAGGATGAGCTAGAAGGCTGGCAGGTGTCTGTGAACTTTCCTCTGTTCCATCTTGTCCCACTAAAGAAGCAGCAGACACCAAAAATGAAATCTGAGCCACTTTCATTTTGGGAAACCTTTAAAGTAAATATGACAAGTGTGGTGATAGGGACCCTTGGTAGGCAGCCACAGGGTCTCGCAAACAAATAACCTTGTGATTCCTTCTGAATTCATGAGTCTATGGCCCTGAACAATTGAGGATGGCCAAAAGAGTCTCTGTTAATAAAATCACCTTGAAAAATCAACATTTCTGTTCAATAGAGTTTTATGTATTAATTTTAGGAGCTAGACTGTCAATTTTTCTTTAACACAGAAAGAAACTGAATACCCTTACAAATAGGGATTGTAAAAAATCTTTTGAAGAATTTTTTTTCTGCCTCATAGAAATTTTATCATAATTTCATGCCCCTGTACTTCATGGCTTGTTTCTCGCTTCATTACTCTTACATTTAACTTGATAAGGTCCTGGTTCCTGTGATACTAGTTTTTAGATTTTGGTTTCTCACAGCTGCTGCTTTGAAGTACCTGATAACATTCTTAGCCTTGCACAGAGTGAGTGGCTTTTCAAGCCCTCATTCTCCCACTGCTCACTGTCCTGCTATTTCTGTTATTTCTCACTTACTAGGTATATTCTCAACCTCACCCCTCCTCTACTTTTGAAAGAGGGCAAACCTTTGGCTTTTACAGGTGGCTAATTGGTCCACCCATGGAATTGGGCAGTTTATTCTGAAAGTAATCATTTCTCTGCCTGAGCGTGTCAGAGTGTGTTTTCCTATGGATGTTCAGGGATTTTAGTGGGGCATACACATGAGTGGTAATGGGGCACCTGTTATGGTTCCTGTAAACACAGATAAGGCCAATGCTCTTTTCACATACACACAGACGTTCCTTAACTTAATGTAGCACCTGCAAGGCCTGTGTCAAAAGGTGGCTTTTGCTAACAGGATCCATGCCAAGCATGACCTCAACTGCTTGAATTTGGAAAAAGCCAATTATTTCACTGGGCATAGCTAAGGCTATGGTAAGATCAGACAGGGAAGCATCTTCTGGACAAAGCATCTCTCAGGTTACCCAGTAGGGGAAATGGGATTACAAACATTTAGAGAATTTCTGGAGTTGTTTATGGTTAAAATTAAGTTACCATTGGGAGTTTTGAACGCTGTTGTTATTTTAATTGGAAATTAATTTGGTGGAGAAAAACAAACATCTCCTGTTTCATCCACTTAGCAAAATTTCTCCTGATTTCCTTCATTTCCCAACACATTTGATGTGAATGTTGGAAGACTGAATTGAACAGATGAGCCAAGTGTGAAAATGTGCTTACAAGTGGTAAAATAGGGACTAGAGCTTCAGCTGCATTTTGAAGAGGAATGGGACAACGGTAAGAATAAAAACAAAAAAAGCACAATCGTAAGTGAAATTGAGCAGAACTCTCAGCTCATCTCATCGTGCACAAAATATGGTGTTACAGAGCAAAGCTACTCACAGGTATTTGCAGTGCCTTTGGGGATGGGGAGATAGGAGCCTGGACTCCAAGGCCGACCCTGATAATTCTTCTTGCATTTCCCACAGTCTGGACCTGTAGTGTTGTGCTCACATTCACAGGTCAATTTGCTGTTGTCATACACACACACAGTGGCATGGAGATTACATTTGCACCTAAAGAGAGGAGAAACAAGAGTTCATTGTTAAGTCAAGTTGGTGATCACAGAGGCTTTACCCATCTATCTCCTGGGTGGTAGTTCTCACACCCTGCTGTGCTTGGATACCTACAAACTCTTGGCAAAATATAGATTTGGAGGCCCTACCCTCAGAGTCTTTTCAACAAGTGCCCTTGGGGGAAGAGGTGGGGTTATGATACAGTCTGTATCCTCCCACACTTTGAGGAATCCTAATACCAGTCAGTCCGTTCAGTGGGGACCTGAATGTGAGGTAAGACAACGGTGCTAAAAAATCAAGGGCTTTCCAACAGGTATCAAACTACTTAGGGAGCAGTTTTTCCTGTAATATTATCAAAACTGTGACGATTTCATCTGGGTTGGAAGAACAATGTTATCTTCTGTTTTTCCTTAAACCAGAAAGGCAATCTTTCTTTGTTGAAAAGGAAATGTAACCATTAAGACAATTTGCTATTCAGACTATTTTATAGACCCAAGGAGGTCATAATAAGATATTCATATTCCGGGCTCAAAAATGACCTTACCCCAGATCCAAAGTTTTCCCACCAAGGCTTCTACCCAATCTGAGTAGTCCTTAGATTGCTCCCTCACAGCAAATAAGACAATTACAAAGTTCTCTCAGGAATGGTTCAAATGACTCAGAAAAAAAATGCTTAGAGGTCTAGAAAACAAAAACCTATATGTGGCTGGATTATTGCCTTTGGTGCCTATGAATAAAAGTGTGATCTATGAGAGGCCACAATGAAATATGCAATTTCCACAAAAATGCATCCCCCTATCCAAAATCCTGGACTATAAAATTGCAAAGGCCAACTGGATATTTGTTGAGGTAGCAGATTATAAATTGTAACTTCCCAAGCATAGTTCGCATCCTGTGGAAAAGTAAAACCTAGGTTGACAGGATGACCATGGCCAGAGGCCAGAATAGTGTATGCAGGACGCCATGCATCCACACAAAGGGGAGAGCTAGGACACCCAAGCTGAAGGATAAAGGGTCAAGGTATGTCAGAGTCAGAATCGGGAAAATGTAATTTGTGTGTGTGTGTGTGTGTGTGTGTGTGTGTGTGTGTGTGAATTTTTAAATGAGTCTGGCCTCTCCCAAGAAGTAGGACAAAAATACAGAAAGCCAAATTTCATAAAGACAAAGAAATATTGTTGTGCTTTACATTTGTTTTCCTTTGTGGAAAGTGTCATGAATTAGAAAAGGTAACAGTAGTCTTTCTTAGGTAGCAAAATAAGGTTCTTTAAGAACTGATGTGGGTTTCTATGTTGTCTGTACAGCAACATCCGAGGTTCTCCCTTGTGCACTGATGATCTGTTTGGTAGGCTGGCCCACCCTTATGGCAAGGAAGCAAAGGAATGGCTAAGACCATTACTGAGAGCTGTTGGGTTCTCTTCTAACCAAAAGGTGTGGCCCCTAAAGCAATGCCCACCCTGCCCCCCTCCCTCAAACCTCCCTGGGTAAAGACCACACCTCAGCTTCCTCAGGGGTCTAGCACAATTCGTAATACTTGTAGCTACACTCTGCCTTCTGTATACTTATAAATTGTAGTAAATTGAAAGGCTGCTGTTTAAACTTTTTTTTTTTCAACGTTTTTTTATTTATTTTTGGGACAGAGAGAGGCAGAGCATGAACGGGGGAGGGGCAGAGAGAGAGGGAGACACAGAATCGGAAACAGGCTCCAGGCTCCGAGCCATCAGCCCAGAGCCTGACGCGGGGCTCGAACTCACGGACCGCGAGATTGTGACCTGGCTGAAGTTGGATGCTTAACTGACTGCGCCACCCAGGCGCCCCAAAAGGCTGCTGTTTAAACAATACCTCTTCAACTTAGATACATAAACAAAGCCTTTAAAATTAACATGTATGCAGTCTCATAAAAAGATAAGAGAAAAATAATTCGGTTAAGTGAAATAGTGTTTAATTATGAGCTAGGTCTTACAGCAATCTCCTCTATGCAGGGAGGGAGTCAATTGTGCCAGATTGTATATGGAAGGATCTTTATCCATCAACATTAGCACCTTTATTTATGGGTGTGTTTGTATATATGGAAGATGTTAGAAACCTAAGTGATAGAAGCACCAGCTTATACTGATTTAGCACCCTATCTGGTGTTAAAAATTCCAAATGGGGAAAAGAATAATGTGACCCCAAAGGATATGCTGGTTTCATGTAGGAAGACCAAGAATACAAGAAGTAATTGTAAGTTGGATTAAATGTTTTGTAACTGTTAATACCTCCATATACTTGTAGTCACTTTCTGTGTTACAGGCAATTTCCATTCTAAAGACCTTATATTTGCTGAGAAAATATTCTTTGAATAACAAAAGAAGGTGAAAGAGGAACGGATAAATGTTTAATCTTATTTCTTGCAGATTTCTTTCAATTAATGGTTCATCCTCACCTGTCCAAAAGCTAATCATTCAAAGGCTCAACTCAATTCAAACTCTTCCCAATCACCTATGCTACCAGTGTAGGCACCCTGAGCTCTATTCTTCTGATCCCCTTAAATGCTTCTGTGTATTTGGTTTTGTCAGTTGTTCCTTAAGGCTCTTTGAGCTTTTAAAATGTTGACTCATTGCACAAATCTCTCCCATCTTAAGCGGGGGTGGGGGGTGGGGGGGGGATGGATATCTACCCTGTACTTCTTTTCTACCTTGTCTTCATTTCCAGCTACTTCTTTAACAATCTCCTCTCCCTTCTTGAGTTTCCTGTACTTGAATTTTCCATTTTCTCATCTCCCACTCACTCTCTCTTTCTCACCACCACAGCCTCTCTTGCCATGACCTCCTTGTTGAAAATCCAATGGATACTTCTCTTTACCTCATTTGACCACCCAGGGGTATTTGAATCTCTCCCTTTGATTGAGGTATTGACCACTCCCTTTCTCCTGATACTTTGTCCTCACTGGATTCTCAAGTGCATTTTCAGAACCTTCTTCTGTGTGTTCTTTTTATATGCTGTTCTTGGGGTTCTGGCTCAGAACCATCAGCCTAAGTGAGTCTTTTCAGACACTCTTACAAAAGGCCGTCCCTTCAATTTCCTCTGTGGCACTTAACTACCTTTGGGTTACAGCAAACTTGCATTCTAAAACAAACTTCCATAATCTTCCCCACCCTGAAATAATAAGCACATGAAAGATAAGCTTTAACATTTGGAAACATTTTAGGAGATTCAGAGATTCTCTGTTACCCACAGAGATTGATAGAACCCTTCCCTCCACTATTACTAGGTGAAGATTACCTGATTGACATATTGATAAATTCTGGATCTATCATGGATCTCTCTCCTGGGCATGTCAAACTCCACAGATCCTGAGCTGAAGTCTGAGACTCTCTTCCCCACTCACTCCTCCTTCTGAGATGTCTGTCTCAGTAAACTGCATCACCTTTGAGGCAGTTGGTTAAGAATGCCTCTCTTCCTTTCCTATCACATCTAAGTTGTCATTGCTCCATCTCTCACCAAATTCTGGGATTCCTTCCTCTTTGATAACTCTCAAATACACATGGTTCCAGCCACCCATTGCCACTGCCCTAGTGAAGCTTGTCATCATCTCTGATCTGCTTTATTACAATGGCTTCTCAACAGACCTTACTGCCTCCAGTCATGCTCCTCTCTAGCCCAGTCTCAACACAACAGTCAAAATAATCCTTTACACAAAAATATTGGGGTCACTGTAGCTTAGAACCATTTAAAGACTTGTCGCTATTCTCAGAATAGAGTCCGAACTCTGTCATGTGGCCTCCAAGTCCCTTTGAAGTTGGTGTCTTCTCCCTTCTCTAGATTCATCTGCACTGCCAGCAACACAACTTAGTTTTTCAAACTGTGCCTTCACGTAATCTTATAAGCTGTTCCTTCTGCTTGCAATGTTCTGCTCTACCATTTCTATTCCTTTCATCTGCAAAATTCTTACCATTCAGGTGTCAACTTGGAAATTTCCGTGTCTGGCTGCTAACTGACATTCAAAAAACATCTGCTGGTCAATTATCTGAGTGCTTCTCTGACCCACCAGAATACCTTTCCCATGTGCTCCTGGGACACTGGGTGAGGCCAGTCACATGATAAAGCCCACACTATCTCTGCCTTAGACATAGGCTGCATTCTCATAGTTTCTTCTTCTAGCATGTTTACTAGAGTAAACTCCTGGAGGCAGCAGTCATGTTTGCCTTATTTATTGCAACATCCCCAGCACATTTCAAGGTGCTTGGCACGTAGTAAGTACTTAAAAAAAAAAAAAAATATATATATATATATATATATATATATATTTGACAGATAAACAAATGATTGTTAAACAAGTAAACTCTCTGAAAGCAGGAACTTCATGGGTCTTTTCTACTATGTCTAGCACGGTAATGGACTAAAAACAGAATTAATAGGTATTGTAATAAATCAAAAACTCCTTGATATGTGCTCAAAACTACCACATGCCCTTATCATTGGTTTACATAACTAACCTCATAATGGGCAAAGAGAACTCTATAAAATTGGTAAGACCTTGTAAACACTATTCAAACTCCAGAGAATTTGCCAAATGCTGGAAACCTAACACAAGAAAAAAAAAAGCCTGAAAATAAATGCCTCAAAGACTCAGGAAAACAACACAGTTTAGAGGAGAAAGAACAAGACAAAACAAAAACAAAGCATTTGTGCAGCATAATTATTCTGGAATGTACATCTTTTGGCTTCAACTTCTCATGGAAGAATGGCCACCTGGTTCAGGTTCAAGTTTGGCAATCTTTCTTGGGTTCTGGCAAAAACTGGAACTTGTCTAGTATTAATTCTGCTGACCTAGCCTAGCTTCGACTGTGTTTCCTCCATCCTGGTGATGACTGTTGTACCTGGGCAGCACAGGTGAAAGTGGACATTGAGGTACCACAACACTGGCTGGTATTTGAAAATGATTCTCTTTCCTTCTCTACAGCTTGGTTTATTCGCATCAGCCCATTCCAGCCAGCCACTAAGATTCTTTATTTAGAGCC